TGGCCCGAACGACCAGGCAGGACCGCCGTCGTCCCGTTGGGTGCTCTCCAGAAATCACAAACGCGACTTTCCGCAGAGACTGTCACCGGGGCGGGAAGGGGGCGTGGACTACAGCTGAGCAGCGGCGCTTTCTGTCGCTGCCGCCGTGCCGCGGCTCCCGCTCACTGGTCCGGGGCACCCAGGTCCGTTCAGAATTCGCTCCCGAGTGCATCGCCGTTCGACTTCCCTGGAAACGATGGCCCGCAGTCGCCGCGTTCCGTTACCAGCGCTTCTCTGCCCCCCCCAGCCTCTGGCGCCGAGCGCCGCGGCCCGGGTGCAGTATGGAGGCGAAGGCGGCGTCCACGCCGGCTACTGGCGGCGGCGCGTGCTCGGTGACGGCCGAGGAGACCGAAAAGTGGATGGAGGAAGCGATGCAAATGGTGAGGAGTCCAGAAGGTGGATGCCGTTGGGTGGGAACTTTCTTTAGCCCTCTTCTCGACCCGAGCATTTGAGCAGACGTCCTGGGTGTGCTTTCTCGCCACCATAATCTCGATGGCGGTCACGTTTTCTGGGTAGACAGCTGGCTTTACTGTCCTGAAATTTTCTTTAGCCCATTCGCACAGTGCTGTAGGGGAAGGAAGAGAGGAAATACTGGCACGTCTGAGCCAAACATCCCCATTCAGCTGCTGCTGGCACGTAACGTGCTGCGTCCCCTTCTTCTCCCGGGGACACACTCGCAAATCCGGAAAGTCACATTCTTCTGTATTTATGACCTCTTGAACCTATCTAGTAGGAGAAAGGACGCCGAGGATGTGTCTGATAGATCAGGATAAAAACAAATCCCAGTACAGCCAGATCCCACCATTCATTCATCTTTCCTACTGCCCTCAAGCCTTTTAACTTCCTTCGCTCCCTTCAGGATTGCTGATTGAGAAGGGCTCTAATCAGATTTGTGTGTAATCCAAGCTTCACCCATACTTCTGTGTGCCAGGGAGCTCTTTAATAGGGATAAGAGTGTGTATTCACATATATATGTATATGTATACAAATATATGCACCTGCACACATATACATATGTAAAATGCCCTTCGGTTTTACATTTCTCTAAAGCTGCTGTAAAAGAAATCTTTTTTTTTCATACATGGTTTTGATTATATTCTTCCTATCCTTAGGGGCCTCTGGTCTCCAATAGTTAATTAATTCCATAATTATGTATTCATTCACTCCACAGATGTTTATTGAATACACTGTGCTTGGCATTGGGAATTCAGCACTGAAACTGATTTTGGTATATTCCTCTCTGTTCTCTTTTCATACTATTTCCCCTGCATTCATTCACTATTACAGCCAAATATTTTTCTCTAAGCCATGATGCATTACAGTGTCTATCCATTTGTTTCTGCTACTTACATAATGTCCTTTAAACTTGTTTCTCATACTTTTTTGCAAGTGACTCACAGTAAAAAAAAGTCTATTTTATGTTACAACCCAGTAAATACACACGTAGCTATAACAGAAACAAAAGTTTCACAGAACAGTACTTCACGTTCCTTTGTACAGTTTCCCTGGTATTTCTCTTTTCTTGAATTGGGGGGAGGGTGCTGTGTATTTATGACAAATATTCCACCTCCGTGATCCTCTCCAGTCAGAAGTTCTTTGAAACGATGCTGTTGGCCTTGGCCAGTGGGAGGATGGAGTCCTCTGACTCACCCATCCTGTGAACGGCCCCACACATAGCTTAGCGCAAACTGGCCATTGAACCTGCCTGTCACCTCGTCAGCCTCGGCCACCTTCGTCTGGGTGGACGCTTGACCCTTGGTGTGGATGATGTGGTTGCTGGCAGAGCATTTCCGCGGCAGGTCCATCCAGGTCCCGGAACTCGCCGGCAATGCTCTGCAGGTCCAGGGCGCGCCCGCCGTCACTGCCACGAGGGCGAGCACGGAAAGCTCCTTCTCGATTTTTGAAAAAAATGCTGGTCCTGACCCGCTAACTTGATTTTATGACCCATTCTTTGAGCTCACTTCATAATTTATTTCCTCTAATAAACTTACAAGATAGGTAGTGTTCTGATACTTTAATTACTGTTCACATATACATTTAAAAATTAATTTGTAACTTGTCATATGGATTTGTTGGTCCTGAACCTCTTTTATGTTACCAGATCCTCTAAGTTGGAGACAAGGAGTTTTCACATGATATCAAAATCTCACTCTCCCTTCCCCAAATCATTTCAATAATGTCATATGCTGGGCAGCTTCTTACTAGTGAGTTTGATGATATATACACATGAAGGATAAAATATGTTAGAGTAAGCTGCATTCGATTCCTTCTATGGGTGAGAGTTCCAGAGGGCAGATGATACCTGAATGCTGGGAAGTCAGAATTTATGGGCTCTTTTGTTTATTTTCATTTGCTTCAGGAGCTCTTCTCAAAGTATTTATGTGTGGAGCCCGCTTAGATAAAATTTTCAGAGATGCTACCATGGAGGACTTAATAGTATTTTTGAAAACAGCTAACTAATCAGTCATTGGGCTTTCCCACTCGTGTAACAGAGCTGTGATTTTTTTTTTTTTCCATCCTTTCATGTTTTGGGTCTTTATTTTCCTTTAAGCGTCTTTCGGTCATAATATATTGGAATATTTCCTCCACCTATCTCTGCCCTGTTCTCTAGACTTCTGGATTAAACATTTAAGTCTTTTTACTACCTTTTGCCCTGACTTTGGGCAAGCCAACCGCCCCACCCTTTCCCCTCCTACCCTATAAAATGAGATGGTTGAACTCCACATAGTTTCTCAGATCTCTCTAGCCTTGACCTTTTTGTCTCTTAATTGGATTATATATTTTTAAATATTTATTTATTTGACAGAGAGAGAGAGAGTACAGGCAGGGTGAGTGGGAGAGGGAGAAGAGGCTCCCCGCTGAGCAGAGAGCCCCACATGGGGCTCCATCCCAGGACCCTGGGATGACGACCTGAGCCCAAGTCAGATGCTTAATTGGCTGTGCCACCCAGGCGCCCGTCTTAATTGGATTATAAACCCCTCGGGGATGTGATTACCTAGTTTACCTATTCCTACATAGGGTCAAGGAGGACCTTAACTTAGTACTTGTATTTTGGTTTTGGCCTATACATGTTCTTCCAGGTCTTAAAGAAAGGGGAAAAAGTGCTTGTCATAAATCTTGTGCTTTGTTCAGTCATGCCCTGACCACTACAGAAACTTCAAATCTTGAACTACTTCGAAGATTGTTGAAGTAATTCAAGGTGTACTATGTATTTCTGAGAAGAGTTTAAGATTAGACAAGAAGCATGGCTAGTGCCAAATCTATTCATCTCTGAGGAATTTGAAAGTGAAATATGCAGTGTACATGTAGTAGGGAGGATACCAATCAGAGGATGCTCTGATTAGACCAGCCAAGTCATATAATTTCTGGGTCTTACTGTTTAAAATAAAGGGGTTGTGCTAGAAAATTTCTGTCCTAGTCTATGATTTTAATCTACAGACATAAGCCTGAATTATAAAAGAAAGGAAAACAGTTTTTGAGAAAGCTTAAAATCTATTTTTTTAAAAAAATGTCATCTAAACTAAGTGAGTCTGTGCAAAAAGCAATACAGCCCTAACAGTCCAATAGGTATAACATTTTTGGAAGGCAACCTGGCATAATATAATTAACAGCCTCAAAAAAAATATTCATATCATTTGACATAGTAATATAATTCTGTGGCATTTATCTTAAGGAAATAGTTTAGAAAGATAAAAGCAATCATTGTCATTTCAGTGTTACATGTAACGGAAAACTAGGAAGCATTTCAAACTTATGATGAAAGGAAATGGTTCAATTATAGTGTATTACTGTGTTGAATAATATGCTGTTATCAAAACAGTTATGGATATTAGGTACAAACATGACATTAACTATTACAGCTACATGTAATATTCAACATTAAGCAAGCAGAATACAAATTATTTTTTATACTGTACATGTACATTTAGAGATTAGACAGGCGTATGTTCAAACCCTAGAATGGCTACTGAAAGCCAGCTAACCTTGACAGATTCTTAAACTTTCAGCCACAGAGGCCTCTTCTGTAAAATGGGTATATGGTATCTATGTCTCAGGGTTGTATAGATTAAAAGAGATAATCTTTGTAAAGTCCCTGACACATAATGCTCACTAAATAAAAGCTGTTGTTTTTTTTAAACTTTTTTTTTTAATCAGATAAACAAAGACTAGAGGAGAACACACACAAATAATTAGTTAACATGGTAAAGATATGGGTCTTTTTTTTTGAGATATGGGTCATTTTAAAGAAATTTTTCACTGTGCTTTTGTAGTAAAATCTAATCAAAGAGATAGCATAAGAAGAATAAAACCAGAAAGGAGCCAGTGGTAGATAAATGTTAGTGGAATGGAGATGGGCTCCTTATACCATCAAAGGCAGAAAACAGAGGAGGAAAATGGATGGGTCTTAATTACATAAATATTAAAAACTTCTGCACGTTAAAAGGACAAGGTACAAAGTAAGAAAGCAAATTTGTAAAGAAATTATCAGACTTGGCCGAAAGTTGGTGGGAGAGTTGGAAAGTATGAGATGGGATGGATTGAAAATTATGTTAATTATTTAGTTAGTTTAACTCTATTTTGAACTTGACAGCAAAACAAATATGTATTTTATTGAACAGCATCTCACCTAAACCCATTTCCGTGGGGTTTGGGGGTTGTTCACACCACCTCCTCCCTAACCCATCATTCCCAACTGCTCAGCTACTCGCCCTCAGCGTGGTGGGCTGGGCTCTTCTTCACCAATAACCTGATTTGCCCTTTTAAATACTCCCACCACTCATGTTTTCTCTCTCATTTGGATAGCAGCTGAAGGCTTTTCACAAAAAACAAGCTACTCTAAGTAAATAGGAAGATAATCTTGAGAGGTGGGATGCGGAATAAAGGAGGTACATTTGCCGGAAGGAAAAAGAGAAAATCCGAAGGAAAGAATGAAAGGCACACTCCCAGTCGCCTGGGGGCTGGGTGGAGCGAGACTGCCAGGCTTTCTTGCAAGTGACCTAAGTCAGGCCTAGGAACCCCACTGGGCCACCCAGGTTCTTCCTGTCCTCTGCCATTCCTTCTTCCCCGGGTCATGAATTCTCTTCTACGTGCTTGAGATAGCTACATAGCCACATGCAGAATTCTTCAGGAGATAATTTTACAGAAAATCTTTGTCACGTGGCCCCCTCATTTGTTTCTTCTCTTACAGTTTTTTAGCCTTAAACTTTCCAGGTTTCACTCTTTTAAGTTTTCCCTCTACTTTTGTCCCTTGAACTAGGCCTATTTTGAACCCAAAAGGTGACAAAGTAGCTGATCAGTGGTGACTAGAGTAGAAATTTGAGGCGGAGTGGCCAGGACCTGGCATCTCGTAGATGTTCCATAAATATTTATTGAAGAAATGAATGCCTGGAGCAGATTGCCTGGATTCTGGCCCCAGCCTCTCACCTGAGCAAATCCCCAACTTCCCCATGTCTCCATTTACTCATCTGTAAGCTGGGGAAGCTCACTGAATCGATCTCATAGGGTTGTAAATGAAATGCATCAATACTGATAAAGTGCTTAAAATAGTCCTGGGTCAAAGTAAGTTTTTCCATAAGTTGTAAGCTCTTATGATTTGCAAGCTCAGAATCAGAACAATTGTTAGGTAGACATAACAGTCTGTGATAATAGTTAGAAGCTAGAAATTTCTTTACAAATTTGCTTTGTTACTTTGTACCTCGTCCTTTTAACGTGACTTAGATAGGTCACCCTTCAAGCCACTGGTTTTCATTTCCAATTCCACCAAAATTGCATCTGTGTCACTGACCCTTTTCTCTTGGCCTGTTTTTTTTTTTTTTTTTCCTCGAATCCTCCCTAACAGCAGACACTCCTGATTCTTTCTTTCTTTCTTTCTTTCTTTCTTTCTTTCTTTCTTTCTTTCTTTCTTTCTTTCTTTCTTTCTTCCTTCCTTCCTTCCTTCCTTCCTTCCTTCCTCTCTCTTTCTTTCTTTAAAGATTTTATTTATTTATTTATTTTAGAGAGAGAGAGCATGCACAAGCAGTGGGAGGGGCAGTGGGAGAGGGAGAAGCAGACTCCCCACTGAGCAGGGACCCCAAGGACATGGGGCTCAATCCCAGGACCCTGAGATCATGACCTGAGCCAAAGGCAGGCGCTTAAATGACTGAGCCACCCAGGCGCCCTGACACTCCTGATTTTCCTCGTACCTTACTAGGCATTTCTTCTTAATCTCCATTGCAAGATATTTCTTGTTTACTCCTTTATTATTATTATTATTATTTTTTAAACTTTTCCTTTTGAAATAATTATAGATTCATAGAAGTTGCAAAAAAAAAAGTATATAGGGAAGTCTCATGTACCCTTCACCCAGCTTTCCTCCATGGTAACATCTTATGCAACTGTCGTGCAATAATCAAAACCAGGAGAATGACATTGATGCAGTCTGTAGAGCTTATTGAGATTTCATCAGCTTTCTATGCACACATGTGTGTAGTTCTGTGCAATTTTATCACATGTTTGGTTTTGCAGAAACACCACCAGACCTGCTCAATCACCACAGGGCTCCTTCATGCTACCCTTTATAGCCACCATTCACTCTCAAGCCCTTAAGCCCTGGCAGGCACTAATCCATTCTTTGTAGCTGTAATTTTGCATTCAGGAATGTTATATATGTGAATATGGAACCTTTTAGGCATTGGTTTTTTTCATTCAGCATGATTTCCTTGAGGTCCATCCAAATGTTGAGTGAATCAGTAGTCTATTCCTTTTGTTGCTGTGTAGTATTATTTGGGATGGACGTACCACAGTTCAACTATTCATCCTTTGAAGGACATTTGGATCATTTCCAGTTTTTGCCTATTACGAATAAAACGCCTGCAAACATTTATGTCTGTATATGAATTTATGTGCTGTATGACCATAAGCTTTCGGTTCCTTGGGAGAATGCCAGAGAGTGCAATTGCTGGGTCATATGTTAACTGCATGTCTTGCTTTTTAAGAAACTGCCAAACTAGTTTCCAGAATGGCTGTACCATTTTACAGTCCTACCAGCAGTGTATAAGTTATCCTGTTTTTCTTCAGCCTCACCAGCATTTGGTGTTTTTACTTTTTATTTTAGCCATTCTGATGGTGTGTAGTGATAACTCATTGTGGTTATTTTGCATTTCCCTAATGGCTAATGATATGAACATCTTTACATGTACTTATTTGCCATCTATATGCCCTCTTTGGTGAAGTGTCTGTAAATATCTTTTGCCCATTTTCTAGTGGGATTGTTTTTGGTTTTTTTGCTGTTGAACTTTGAGAGTTCTTTATATAGTCTTAATAGTAGACCATTGTTGGATATGCAGTTTGCAAATATTTTCTTCCTGTTTTAGCTTGTCTTTTCTTCTTCTTAACAGTGTATTAGTATCCTATGGCTTCTGTAACAAATTACTACAAACTCGGTGGCTTAAAACAACACAAGTTTATTCTCTTATAGCTCTGGATGCCGGGTGATTGAAATTCATTTCACTGGGCAAAACCCAATGTGTCAGCGGGGCTGCGTACACTCTGAAGGTTCTAGAGGAGAATATGTTTCCTCACCATTTCCAGCTTCTGGAGCATTCTTTGCTTGACTCATGGCTTCTTCCTCCATCTTCAAAGCCAACAGTGTAACGTCTTCAAATCTCTTACTCTGCCTTTCTTATTAGGACACCTGTGATTGCATTTAGGGCCACCTGAATAATCCAGGATAATTTCCCTATCTCAAGATCTTCAACAAATATTTGTTGGATGAGTAAATGATTTCTCTCTTGTGTGTACTTGGGGTTCTGTGTACTCCCAATCTTATTTTAAATAACATTTTTCATGTGCTGATTGCCTTAACTGCGTGGGTACTCAGCATCGCCATCCTCCCTGGCTGTCAGTCCTCCTCCTGGCTTTCCTTTCTTTAGTAGCCAATGGTGCATTTGTATATTTATTTGTATATATTCACCAAACCTTGGAACTTTTCAGACTTTCGGGCTTTGCATAACCTGACATGCTTTAACCATTGTTACAGTATTGGACAGAACTAGCCTGTGGGTGGTTCATGACCCGGGTGGGAAGAATGCAGTCTTACTGCTTCAGCTACTCTCTCCCTACATCTGTGCAGGCCATAGCTCTGTCCTACCACCCTGGAGGAAGAAGGAGAGATATAGCTTGCTACCACTATGCTATGTGCCTCTCCTTTCACCTTTATTGGCCCAAGAACAATTTAAGTGTCAGTTGAGCATGGTTGAAGTGGCTAAGCAACCCATGTTAGCATGATGATAGGAAGTTATTGCTACTCTAAATAAAGTATAGCCAGGAATAGGGGCTAGTGCAAGAGGTAGAACATGCGGTCTTAAGCAATGTCTTCAACTTTACACTGTATATGCCTTATGCTGTGTGTGAATACCTACACTTAATTGGTAATCTAGTCTTCCAAAGTGTCTTCAGGCCTGCCAAAATAAGAAATGCTATGCCTTTCTAAAAACAGCCATACTTGGGTTTTCTTGACTGCAGTGAGATGGAAATGTTTATACCCTAGTTCAAGGGTTGTGTTCTTCATTTGTTCTCTCTCAGCAACAGGATCAGGGAGTATGCGGATATAACCTGCTTGCTTTTGCTCTCTGCCCAGAGAAGTATTCTTTAACTGTGTTGGGCCGGGACTTACCTGGTTCAGTCATTGACAGAGCTAGAATAAAAATGGACAGCCTCTGATGGGGGAGACTTTGCAAATATAACCAGTGGTTTGCCCTTTTCCAGGATGATGGTGGTAGAAATATTCTTAAGCTTGTTTTTCTGATTTATATTTTTCCATGGAGGTGTACCTTACGTACAATTAAATGCACAGACAGGTCTTATATATGTTGTCCATTCAGTTTTGACTGATGCAAACATCTATGTAACCCACACCCTTTTCAAGAGTTTTGACCACCCTGGAAAAGTTCCTTGTGTCCCTTTCCGATCAGTTTACACATGCCCTTCCAGGAAGAAATTGCTATCATTGTATTTAGTTTTGTCTGTTCTAGTACTAAACCTGAAGGGAGTCAGACAGTGTGTATGCTTTTGTGTTTGACTTCTTTTACTCAGCATGTCTGAGATTCACCCATACAGTTGTGTGTATCTCTAGCTTGTTCCTTTTCATTGCTGAGTAGTATTCCATGGTGTGACTGTGCCAGTTTGCTTATCCATTCTTTTGTTGGTGGATACCTGTGCTGTTTCCAGATTGGGGCTATTATGAATCAAGCTATTATGAACATTCTTTTACAGTTTTTTTTTTTTTTGTGGACATATATTCCCTTCTCTTAAATAAATACTTAGGATTAGAATTTGTTCATTGGCTATGTGTATGTTTACTTTTTAAGGAAATTTCCAAAGTGTTCTCCAAAGTGGTTGTGCCATTTTCACATAGAGTGCTCCGAAGCTTTTCTTGTGTCAAAGCAGAAATAGCACAGAGAGACATCCAGTCTGGTTACCTTTATGCTGTTGGGGCTCTAGAGGGTATCTTCTATAATATTTAGTGAAACAAAAAAACTAAGCAAGTAGAATTTCAACAAGGAAAAGACTTCAATAAAGTATTTATACATGTTATTTATTCTTTTCCTTTACACATATGTATATGATCTCTGAAAAGTTGCACAGACCCTGCCACCATAAGAACAAAAGTCAGTAACAGCCTTTTGCTCACTTCTGCTTCCAATGAGAAGAAAAAATCAGGGGCTCAGAACCTGTGCAGAGGGTTTGTTCCTGAGTCTCCCTTAATATGGATATAACGGAGAACAAAGGCACTAAATACTGAACTATATTTGAGGGAAGGGAAAGCTCAGCTGTATTTCTTTGTTCTGGGGTTTATATATTTGTGCTTATGCTGGTTTATTTCTTTCCTATAATCTTTTTAAGTATTGAACATTACATCTTAAATTTTCTACTTTGTCTTTTAGGCCAAGCAAGCCCTAGAAAGTACTGAAGTTCCTGTTGGCTGCCTTATGGTCTACAACAATGAAGTTGTGGGGAAGGGACGAAATGAAGTTAATCAAACCAAAAACGTATGTCGATTGAATAGTTTAATTGCAAACATACAGCAATAAGGTAGGGGTGCACTGAATTTTATCACAGCTGGCAAGAAGATGGGTCTGTGTCAAGACCTGTAGGTATAATGGAAGGGTAGTTTCCCTTAACATTTCTTTTTTTGAATGCCTTCCTCTCTGATTATAAAAGTGATCCATGTTGGTTTTCTAAAATTTGGAAAATTCAGAAAAATTTAATGAAGCAATACAATCTGGGGCTAATTTTCTATTTCATGGAGTTTTACTTTAGCATTTGAGTGAAACTCAAGAAGGGATTTTATTACATTGGAGTGTCAGTACTGAAGATATGAATCTAATCTCCATCTTAAGCAAATCTAATATAGGAAAATTCCACTTTACAAAACATCAATTTAACTCATATCACATTCTTTAGTACCTTTAAATAATGTTTTCCTCCTGGTAAATTAAAAAATCACCTTCAGTTTATATCTTTGGAGGTATTAAAGGATTGTATAACGGAAGCTGTTCATGTATTAGATAATTCAGTGGAATAAAGTCTCTACCACCTACTGTCTCTGTACCTACATGTGGTATTACACTTTATTATTTTTTAATTTTTATTTATTTTTTTAGAGAGAGAGAGCATGTGTGCATGAGTGTGGCAGGGAGAGGGAGAGAGAGAATCTTAAGCAGGCTGCACACCCAGTGCTCAATCTTATGAACCCAAGATCATGACCTGAGCTGAAATCAAGAGCTGGATGCTTAACCAACTAAGCCACCCAGGCGCCCTGGTATTACACATTATAGTTTGTGTGCCTTTATATTATGTGGTTAGCTTGAAAAGTTCATGAATTAAGGCAACATTTCTTGGTATCACAACAGTGTGTCATGGTAAGTATAAATGAAATACCCAATTTTATGATTATCAGAAGTACTAGGTGGACTCAGAGCTTAGAACCACAACACCACTCACACAGACTGTGATCTTATCGTTTGATCGTGGGAACCAGAGAACAAGCTGGTGCTGGTACTATGGGGTGCTATGGGGCATTTAATGTTTATCCATCACATCTATCAAAGAGAAAACACATGCAAAGTAGGAACCCAGGTTCACAAAGCAATTATTATTTGGATATCAAAACATTTGTGAGCTAAGTAATAAACATAATGTAGCAATTAGTGAATATATAGATACTTGTCGGGGAGTAGAATTCTGTATTTTAAATAATTGCTCCATCTCCCTATTTTGTGTATTTTGTGGTTTGGTATGATATCTTTAATATCAGAACTTTAAATGCCCTGATGTCATCCATCTAACCCCCCAGTGACCTGGGTTTCTTCTGTATCTTGAAATTAACCTGCCTTTTTATTTTGGTTTGTGTATCCTACAGAAGATTACCCTATCAAACGCTACAGAAAGACTCTTGACCCCAAATGAGGAAACCTGAGTCCTACTTTTGGCTCTCAACTACCACCACCCTCATCACTACCATCACCTCTCCCACTGTGTGTTTTTTTTTTTTTAAATTTTATTTATTTATTTGAGAGAGAGAGA